TATCTGTGTCAACAATTGGCTCATCATGGGCAGCTCTGAAGTCAAGGTTCGGGAGGACATTGCTCTCCTGGTAGGCATGAGCCAGCATCAGGCAGAGCTGGCCTGAGCCATTCTTGTGCCCCGGGCGCGCCTGGCCTGGCAGCACCGCGTGGTGCCCCTTACAATCAGGCACCCCAGGCTATCACCCAGTCAGCCCGTAGCTTGGGCCGGCTCTGGCATCAGGGACTCTTGGCAAACAACAAAAAGTTAATGTTAGTATTGGTAAAGGGGAAGCTTAGGATGTGCCCCCTACAGCTGTGGTTAGCCTTGGTGTACTCACCCACCATGCACCTGGACCAGGTGGTTACCAGTCTGCCACAGATCCTACAATTCCTGATGTGGTGGACTGTGCCTGAGAACGTTGTGTTGGGTGTACCCTTCTGGTTGGGTCAACCAACATTCTATGGAACCGGCATCTCATGCCTCAGATTGGGGGTGCCCCCGTCCATCTTGGCATACTCCAAATGCAGGGGATAGTAGTTTCTGGACAGAAACAAGCCTCCATATAATTATAAAGGAGCTCAGGGTCGTTCAGAGGGTGTGCGAGATGTTCCCACTTCACCTGTTGGGCAGAGTGGTCCAAGTTCTCACAGACAATAGGGCCACTATATTCTGCATCAACAGGTATGTAGGGGCCTGTTCTGCAGCCCTCTGCCAAGAGAGTATTCAGCTCTGGGACTTTTGTGATATCTCCTTGGAAGCTCGATGCCTCCTGGGAAGCAAGAATGCCATTGCAGACCGCCTGAGTAGACCGTTCTCGCTCAGTGCTAGTGGACTCTTCACTTTGGGAATTGCCTCTGCTATCTTCTGAAAGTGGGGCTCTCCATAAGTAGATTTATTCATGACCAGGCAGAACATGAAGTGCCCTAGGTTCTGCTCCAGACTTGGCCTGGAAGAAGGTTCCTTTCTTGGAGAAAAGGTCTCAAGTATGTGTTCCTGCTCTTTCCTCTGATCAGGAAGGTCCTGCAGATGATCAGAAAGGACGTGGTGTGAGTAATGCTCACCATGGCTGCACCAGCATTGGTACAGTACTCTCATGAGTCTCTTGGTGCTGTAACTTTGACCTCTGCTGATCTGTGAGATCTATTGTCACAGGATCATGGTGACCTCCTGCATCCATACCTTCTGCCACTCCACCTCGTGGTCTTATTGCTCCATGGTTGAACTTGGAGGAGCAATCCTGCTCACAAAAAGTGAGGCAGGTTCTTTTGGAAAGAAGAAAGCCGTCCACCAGGTCCATCTCCTTGGCAATGGACCTGATTCTCAGTCTGGGCCACTCTGAGAGGGTCAGCCATATTGAGGCTCCACTGTAAACAATCCTTGAGTACCTTCTGCATCTGAAACATGAAGGTCTTGCACTGGCTTCTATCTGGGTACAGCTGGCTGAAATCTGTCTTCCATCTGCCAGTCCAAGGTCACTGACTCTTTTCCCAGGATATGACGGCCAGATATTTGAAAGGTCTTGAGAGGCTCTTCCTGCAAGCTCCAACCCTTCTTCCTCAATGAAACCTTCACTTGGTTGGCAATAGGATGGGCAGAAACCAATAATGCCTGACCTCCACAGTATATTTGGCTCACAAGTGAGGTCAAGATTATGTCAGGGGGTTGCTGAGGTCATGGAATCCATGACTTCTAGAGACTTGTTTGATATTAGGGGTCCTACAGCAGACCAGTCACTGCTGGGATTGGGGGACCTCACAGCCCAGCTTCCATGGATGGTGGAGGACCCTGTTGCAGCTGACCAGCTGCTGCTGGCAATGTTTGACCCTGCATCTCAGCCTCTGTGGGTAGTGGGGGATGCTCTTGAAGCTAACTGGCTGCTGCTGCTGCTGTTGCGCCGTAAGCTGCCTAGCCACTGCTGGCAGGGGTTTCCCCTGCAACGGCTCAACTGCCACAAGCAGCCAGTGCCCCTTGCAGCTCCCAGTTGTTGGCGGCTGAGGGACCCCTGGAGCGGATGCTGGTGGAGGGTCAGCTTCCTAGTTGCTACCTCTGGCAAGGGCTCCCTTGCAGTTGCTCAGTTCCTGCAAGCAACTGCCTCTGTACCCTACAACTCCCAGCTACCACTGGAGGTAGCAGAGGGTCCCCCAAGTTGGTCAGCAATTACAGATGGGGAGCCAGCTCCCTAGCTGCTGGCACTCGCTGGGACCACCCTGCAGATGTTCAGTTGCTGTGAGCAACTGCCCCCTCAGCTCCCAGCCACTACTGGTGGTGGCAGAATGAACTTAAGAACATATGAACGGCCATACTGAATCAGACCAAAGGTCCATGTAGCCCAGTATCCTGTCTTCTGACATTGGCCAATGCCAGATGCACCAGAGTGAAAAGAACAGGTGTAATCATCATCCATATCCAGCTCCTGACAAACAGAGGCTAGGGACCCCAGATCCATTCACTTCCGCAGCTCCTCATCCTCTGTTACTTGCAACCCCAACCCCTGCTGCTCCTCTGCCTCTAGGGACAATGGGGAACCTTTCCTTCCCCACATTTCCAGCCCTGCAGGGTGGTAGAGGGGCTCCTCATACCCACTAGGCAACAGTTCCAGCAGCTCCTAGCTGCTCTGTTATGGAAGATGGTGCTAGACCCTCCTCCCTCTCCATTTTCAAGGATGTTTTCAGTAAAAGTCAGGATTGTGTCATGGCTTCCATGATTTTTTGCCCATGATCTTACCATAACTTGTATTAAAATATGCATGACAAAATTGTAGCTTTAAACATGAGTAATAAGTTGATAACTCCAAGAATGAGTAGGAAGCTGGGGAACAAACCAAACTGAAATAGAAGGGTTTCACTAGGGGCCTGAACGGTTGTGACTTCTCAGAGTATAGATTTGTTAATGATGGAACCTCATGAGAATAGTAGTATGTCCATGGATACTGTTAGATTGTGTAAGACCTTTCTACTGTGTTGGGATCCTATGCGCTTGCATGAAGCCCAATGTTCATTAAGCTGCCGGAGGTCCAGAGTCAATCAGTGCCTTCAAGATGATTTCTGACATGGTGGAATAGTGTATACCTGTGTTTCTCAAACTGTGAGTCCCAACCCCCTGGGGGGTCGTGAGCAACTTAGAGGGGACTCACGGTATCACAAAGTTTGAGAACCCCTGGTGTAAATGAAGCAGAAACTGAAGGTGCATTTGGTGCTGATTGAATGCTGCCAGGTTACTGGTGGACACAGGTGTAAGGTCTGGCTTTTCCCAACTGAGATGTGGAACAGGCCATTGCAGGACTAGTTAAGGTGAAATGTCTGTTTTCCTCACAATGGAAACAGAGGCCTGAAACCCAGCATCGGGCCTTCTCCATGTCAGAGATGAGACCGGGCCATGTCTAACTGCAGAAGTTCATGCTGTAAAGTGGGTACTGGTTGCTGGCTGACTGGTGCTGTTAAGACCAGTGAGAGTCAAGAAGCTATGCTCTGTTCTTTCTGGCATTATGATAAGCTACTGGCAATCTTCATGCGTAGCTGGATAAATGTATCTAGCCCAATACAGGGTTCTATCTCTGCCAGCTTCTCCTTGATTCCATCATTTAAACCCAACTGGAAGTGATGGCACTGAGCGACTTTGTTCATGTTTGTGTCTGTTACCAGGTGCTGAATATCTACAGTGTAGTGAGCAATCGGGTGGCATCGTGTCTCGGTACCTGATGAGTGTCTTCTGTTGTACATTACTATTTGGGTTGCTGAAGATTATTGAAGTGGCTTGGACCAATTTCCTGATGTGTTTCAATAGGAAGGGACTGAATTTCTTAAACAGTGGAGAAGCCAATGCTTTCTCAGTCAGCAGCACTAATAAATCCCACTGTGGCTTGGTTGGCAAGAAATCAGTGTGGAAGAAGCAGGGACTGACAGTAGGTGGCACTGGTTTAAAAACCCACAATATTTTCCACAGATGCCATCTCACTTGTCAGACAATTGGGGTCATTGGTGCTCACTGGGCCAGTGTCACTGGAGGCCTGGTTTTCACCTGCAGTATTATGTTCTGTGTCAGAAGGGCACTGACTTGGATTTATAGATTCTTCAGGGTCCTCACTAACTCTGCCAAGGAGGCATCAGCTTTTGTGTGGTTCATTCCTGTAGCTGAACTATGTCTTGTCTTTTTTGGGCTGTTCAAACTGTCACAGATCAGAGTGTGTGTGGGCAGTTATGCCTAGTGATCTGAGTAATGATGATTAGGTCTTGTGCTTGGAGTCAGTGTCAGAGGCCAGGAGCAGCACTGCAGCTCACAGCTGGAACTAGGAAACAGGAGTCAGAACCAGAGTAGGGAATTGAACAGAGGTGAAGCAAGTCTAGGAAAAAGGTATAGGATCACAGCTGCAGGCACAAGTGTTGACACACCAGCAACTTGTTGCTGCTGTTGAGCTTTAATGCAGAGCTGTGGAGATCTTGAAGCCAGTTGGGTGGACTAGCCAGGCAGGTCATAGTGCTGCAGCCTGTTGGCGAATCTAGCTAGCCTCAGGCTCAGCTGAGGTGTATCATGTTTTTGACACTTTTATACAGAGGAGCTGATGAAGCAGCAGTATTCTGAAATATCAAACACTGGAAGAACCTTTTCCTCCAAACTGTACAGTGCAATAGTTCCTGCTTTGTGATGTTTTTATTCACTCCTCAGTGTTTAGCTCCCAAGTGTTTCCTCCTCTATTCTAATTTCCCCATTTTTAGTTCTTCCTCTTAAGTACTCTGTCGTATTTATTGATGGAATTGGGCTGCAACATATTCTTGAACAGATCTATTGTTATGTGTGATGTTGAAGGATTTTCTTATTAATGCTGCTTTAGTTTCCCATAGAAAAACAGCTCAGCAAATTTAATCAGATTATTTACCCCTCCTATAAAAGTAGTTCTGATAGTGATGGGTGTAGCTTTGATATAAAAAGTATTGTAAGCATGTCTGAGACTGAGCTGCTTTAGATTGCAAAAAGTTGCTACGAGAACCAAACAGTAAAAGCACTTTTTTAAAAAATTGCAGACCTGTTATCTATCAATCCTCTGCTATAACTTTGGAGTGGAAACATATGAACAGAAGAGGTATGAACAGAGCTCCTTCTGGCTCAGGTAATGTAAAAGGGAAAACAAAATAGAAAGTATTTTTTTCTGAGAAAATAGCAAACAAATACGGCTGAACGACTAGAAAAAAGCGAAAGTTTTTAGCTTTTATTGAAAAACTAGCCAATAACCTGTCATACAACGGGATTTTTCGGGACTCTCCTCCATGTCCGTCTCTCTCTCTGCTCCTCCCCTCCTCCTCCTGCCTCCCCCCTCTCTCTCTCAGCTCTCCTCCACCTCCTGCCTCTCTCTCTGTTTCTGTTTCTCTTCTCCCCCTTCTGCCTTTCACTCTCTCTTTCTCTTCTCCTCCCCATCCTGTCTCTCATTCAGCTGGGCCCCTCCCCCTGGCCATGTACATCACCACCCCACCCTCTTCCCCTCCTGCCATGGTTCTCGGCTGAGTTCTGCACCGCTTAGCTGAGCCGCCGCGGGGGAGCAAGGGGAACAAGCAGCCGTTTGGGCTCCCCCGCGGCGGCCCGGGTGCCACGGCGGGAAGCGAAGGGGGGAGGGGCCATGTACGTCACCGCCCCGCCCCCTTCCCCTCCCGCCATGGCGCCGGCTGAGAGCTGCGTGCTTAGTCGGGCCGCCGTGGGGAACCCAAATGGCCGCTTGCTCCCCCGTGGCGGTCCAGCTGAGCAGAACAGCACTCAGCCAAGCGCCACGTGAGCATTGAAAGACACAAGCGAATGGGCTGGCTGGAACAGACAAGTACAGGGTGTCGGCATTTCTAGCCTCCGGGAAGGAGGTGACAGGTGACAGGAGTGCTGGGGCATTTTGGAAGTGCTGGCTGCTTAGCCTTTTGGGCAGAGCCTGAGAGGTGCTGACTGGCTCACACTGGCCATGTTTGGGTCTGGTGCCTTGGCTTAAAGCTAATCCTTGTATTCATGCCTGTCAATGTGAAATAAAATATTTGCATATCTTTGCATATATATTTGCATGCATATGCAACCACACTTAAGTTGCAGCCCTCGGCATGTGCTGTGAGTATCATTATGGCCCCTTGGGCTTCCAAAATTGAGTAGCCCTGCTCTAGACAGCACTTGGCCCTGCTGTGAGGCAGGGGACTGGACTAGATGATGAGGTCCCTTCCAGTTGTAGTGTTCTATGATTCTATGAACCTCTTTAGAGCCAATATATAATGATACGCTGCATGGAATGAAAGATTCCAGAGCAACCCTTAGATCACTTTGTATACACAATCCAGCACTTAGAAGACAACAGTTCAGGTATCATTCTTATCCCAGACACCCTCAGTATACCCATAGTTACCCTAGACAGGAAAAACAGCAACAACATTGTAATACAGGGCCAGATTCAGGGTGGGGGGGCTAGCCGGGCAGCTTCCCAAGGTGCCAGCCTATGGGGGGGTTGCCTGATAGCAGCTACAAGGGGTGCCGTGCGCCTGGGCACACGGCGCCTCTTAGAGCTGCTATCAGGCACTGTGCCCCCGGGGCTGGGGGCCGTGCGGTGCCCTTTAGAGCTGCAATTGGGCACTGCGCACCCGATTGCAGCTGTAAGGTGCGCAGCGCGCCGGGGGCAGGGCTGCACATGCGCCGTGAGCCCGGGGGCGGAGCCATGCATGCATGAATGGCTCGAGCCAGCCCTGTTGTAATAGAAATAGGTCCCAACAACAACACCCACCTTCTAGTAACACCAAACAAGCATAGCAGCCCAGCAAGCAATTTGAACAGGTTGATGGCTGAGAAAAGTTCTCCCCTATTCCAACGTCGCCGTCATCTCACAAGTTTTTCCAGCCCCACCATCTTCCATTCTAGAAAAATTGGCAAAAAATAACATTGGCTAGATGGGTTCTCCAAATAAATAAGTATGGATAACTTTTCTCTTCATGTCTATATCCCTTTCCCATTCCACTACCTTCTCATTCTTCGGAGACTACTCTCAAAAGCCACTTCTCCAACAGGAAGTGGAACATCTATATTTAGGAGCAATCGAGACAGTTCCTCAGGACTTTATGGGTAAGAGTTTTTATTCCCATTACTTCCTGAGGGAGAAGTCAGGCTGATAGTGGCCCATTCTAGATTTAAGAGCACTGAACAAATTCATAAGAAAACAGAAGTTTAAGATGGTGACACTTGCTGTCATCCCAGCATTGGAACAGGGTGACTGGTTTTGGTCCCTCCACTTGCAAGATGCATATTTTCACATTTCCGTCCACTCGGCTCATAGAGGTTTTCTTTGATTCATTTTAGGTTCCCAATACTACCAATACAAGGTCCTACCATTTAGCCTTTCCACTGCTCCAAGATTGTTTTTGAAAGTGCTAGCCATAGTTACTGCATACCTAAGGAAACAAAATGTCATCATATTCCCTTACCTGGCCAACAGCCTTCTCAAAGTGCACGCTGAACTCGAACATTCGTCCTCAGGCATGTCTTCCAATCCCTTTGTCTACAAATGAACCAAAATCAACGTTGCTCTCCACACAGAAAATTCAGTTTGTAAGAGCCTACCTAGATTGTACGCAAGCCATTGTCTTGCTCCCCACAAAGTGCTTTCAGAAGATAGAGCAGCTTATTCAAAACTTGAAGTCTGCCTGCAAAGTAACAGCTCATGACTGCCTGCAGCTCCTGGGCCATGTGGCCACGTGCAGTTCTGTTGTGAACAATGCACACCTGTACATCAGGTATCTATAAGGTTGGCTCAGATATGTGTACAAATCCAACGTTCACCCCCATCAAAATCCCTTTTGCTCCCTCTGATAGTAAAACAATCTCTCCACTGATGGACAATTCCATAGAACCTATGCTTGTGAGTCCCATTTCCCCCACCAGAACTGTGCATTTCCATGACAACAGCTGCATCCCTCATGCTTGAAGACGTCACCAACACCACATGGCTCAGGGTCCACTACAGAAAGAAATTGTCACACAAATGTTCTGGAACTTTGAGCACTCAGGAAAAACAGCCATCCGGCCTGGTCTCTAAAGTCAAGCCTTTTTCCCAGTCCGCGAGGCTGGATTACAGGGTTTTTTGGGGAGGTAGGGGGACCTGGGCCCTTCCACTCCACTGGGTCCCAGCCCAGGGCCCTATTGACAGTGAAAGTATCCACTGCCTGGTGGGCGGGGATGTCTGCCAGAACACGCCAACCTCTCGGAGGTCCTTCCTCTGCCCTGGGCTACTTCCTACCTCTTCCCCGACAGGCTACGTCCCGGGGCTGGTAGTTAGTGTTGCGGCTCCTAGGTGGCTGTATCAGCAGGCCTATTCAGGGATAGCTGGGACAGCCCAGGACCTCTTCCCTGCGCTCCTGCCCCCTAACTGCCTGCCTTCCTTGGCTTTTATCTCAGGCCTCACTCTGGAGCATGCCCAGCAGGGCTGTGGGGGCGGGGTCCGCTCCGCCCCGCCCCCGGGGCCAGGTGAACGCCTTTAGCTGCAGTGCGAGGCAGTGTTGCCCCGTGAGAATGCAGTAAGATATGCATGTGATTGATTCCTTTCTTTTATTGTCAACAGTCATGTCAGGCTGTATTCCGACAATGACGCGGCGATATTTTATATAAATCGTCAGGGTGGGGCCCCACCACATGCCCTATGTATGGAGTCCATGATGCTTTGGAATTGGTGCCTAAGGAATGGTATAAAAATTACTGCTTTCCGTCGTCCAGGCACTCTCAGTATTACGGCTGACACACTCAGCAAGGCTGTCCCCACTGATCACGAGTGGCACATCAATCCAGACTTTCTATCATGGATTTTTCACCTGTGGTGTCACCCCACCATATCACCACTTAATTCAACAAAAAGTACCAACCCTTTTGTCCCATATTGGGCATGGGGAAGGGCTCTATGGCCATGCTAACCTTGGTAGCCATTCCTCACAAGGATGTTCTGCTCAACTCCAATACCATTGCCTCACATCCCGGATCTCCTCTTCCCACATGCTATACCTCAAAGTGGCATATAACTTTGTAGTTTCTTGATGTGGAGCACTCACGGAGACCCCTCCCTCCCTCCTCCTTTCTCTCTCGGAGGTTGCTTTGAGATGTGTGTCCCCATGGGTGTTCCACTACCCTTCCTTCCTCCCCTATACTTCGGAGCTTTGACCTCTCCGGGGGTCTTTCTCTGAGGTAGAGAAGGAACCAAGGGGAGGGAGGGACTTGCGCATGTGTGACTCCTACATAGTAGGGGCATGCAGCTAGAGGTATGTGTATGTGTGGCCCCAGGGACACTGCTCTGAAGACTTCGATTCTCAGTGCAGCAGTGGCACACTGACCTGATATGGAGCAACCATGTGGACATTCATCTCGAGGAACGTCAGTAACCTCCTCTTCCCCCACTGCCTCTGACTGGACCAGCTCCCCAGGAAAACCCAAGACTGGCCAGGCCAGGGTGCTGGCCAAGAGGAAACAATCCCTATATATGCAAAAACCCTGCATAGTACTGGCACGAGAAAGCATCTCTGCCTTTCCGCTAAGCCTATTCATGTGATTTCCAGCCTATTCATGCCTCAAAAATTATTCTCCCTAGCCCGCTTGCCCTGGTCTCTGGCATGGGAAAGGCAGTCAAGAAGGAGCCTGGAGGTGGAGTGTGGGTGTGGCCTGGTAGTCTTAGGTAGCCCCAAGCCTAAAATATCTGCTACCATGCTGCCTGAGACTTCTGCCAAGGAATGGAGTTATGGTGCTGGGGCTTCCCTTGCCCACCCCGCCAGCCTGCCCATCTTCTGCTGCTGTTGAATATGGAGTGGAGTCAGGATGCAGGGGCTCCCCTCACCCACCCAATGCTTTTGCCAGAGAGTGAAGCGGAGTTGGGGCATGGAGGCTTCTCCTGCCCTATGCACATGGTGCTGCTGGGGAGTGAGGTTGGGTGGAGGCTCACCCCGCCTCCCCTTGACACTTGCTGGTGAGAGGTGCCCATTTTTCTGGGGCCTCCCCCAGTTGTGTGGTGCTCCTTGGCGTGGGCCCTGTGGGCCAAGTGGCTAATCTATCACAGCCCACAGAAGTAATTTATTTTTACATCCCTAAAGCTGTATTTTTACTCACCTGTCATTTGCTTTTTAGCTTCAGTTTTATGGAATTACCCACAAGCATTTACCTCAGAGGCCTTTTATACTCTGGTCTAATTTTTAGAACTGGTAAATCAAGACTCCTATGTCCTGTTTCTGGCTCTGCTACTGATTTGATATGGCCTTGAATGCCAGTCTCTTATCTTCTGTATTATTAAGGGCTTGTCTAAACATGATACATTATAGTGGCACAGCTGCAGTTCTTTCTTTAGCCTAGTAATATCTACACTAGGGCTGTGTCTAGACTGGCAAGTTTTTCCGCAAAATTGCTCTTGCGGAAAAACTTGCCAGCTGTCTACACTGGCCGCTTGAATTTCCGCAAGAACACTGACGATCTCATGTAAGAAATCAGTGCTTCTTGTGGAAATACTATGATGCTCCCGTTCGGGCAAAAGTCCTTTTGCTCAAAAGCTTTTGCGCAAAAGGGCCAGTGTAGACAGCTCAGATTTGTTTTGTGCAAAAAAGTCCCGATCGTGAAAATGGGGATCGGGGCTTTTTTGCGCAAAAGCGTGTCTAGATTGGCACGGATGCTTTTCAGCAAAAAGTGCTTTTGCGGAAAAGCGTCTGTGCCAATCTAGCCGCTCTTTTCCGCAAATGCTTTTAATGGAAAACTTTTCCGTTAAAAGCATTTGCGGAAAATCATGCCAGTCTAGACGTAGCCTAGTTGTTAGGTCAGCTTAACTGCTCGGAGTTACTGATTTTTCACACTCCTGAATGATGTATCTGGGTTGACCTAACATGTTAGTAAAGACCGGGCCTAACTTCCCTTATCTGTAAAGCAGGGATAATAATACTGTTATTCTGAGAGGTGTTCGTTTGTGCCTGAGGTGTAAGTGCATCTTGTTAACAGAAGTATCAGAATGTGTTAATTAGAAGACCCTCATCTAAGACATAATGGAGTTGGGAACCCATCTAGGAGCTTGGACTAAGTGGGCGGAGGGGTTTTTCTCAGCAAGGTGTGTGTGAGGGAAGGCACAGCAAACACAAACTGTGAACACACAGCATAGAGAGGCAGAGGTATAAAGCAAGAAAACCAAGCTGTAGCCTGTGAGTACAGCATGACCTGAGAAAAACCAGAGAGAGCTTTTTGGATCATTGGCTAAAAAGACTTTGGAGCACAAGCTGAGAAATTTATCCTTTTGTTGTTGGCTTTTCCTGTGTTAGGAGAAGCAGGACTTTTGTACAGTCTTTGTAAATAAACAAGATTATAGCAAATAAAATATCAGACTGCATCTATTTCTGCTTGCAACTGGAACATCTCCGGGGCCCAAAAATGTGATCAGTCACTCTGATCAAATGGGAAATTTAAGTCTGAAGTTACTGCATAGCCCAGAAGACTGAGTTTTTCTCAGGCCTTTTAGCTCATATAATTCTGATTTTTTCCTTTTAAATTTTAGCCAGAGCTATGAGATTGGGAAGATGGATAAAAAGTATTCTACTGGGCAAGAAATGCAGGTAAGAAATAAGCATACAGAAACTTTGAATTACTCACAGACTAATAGCAGGATTTTGTTAGTGCCAGTTCTGCACTGCGGTCCCCATTGCCACTCTGGCACTGTTGGACTTCACTTCTCACAGCTGTGCCAGTGGTTATCCATCCTGATTTTTAGCACTTTCTGCTATTTTAGTCCTGCAGAATAGTAGCATAGGGCAAATAATTCTGCACTACATACTAGGCAGAGTCTGAGAATGAGGTCATTGCTATGTGTGTCCTTAAATTAATGGAGATTGCCTATCTCCTAGAACTGGAAAGGACCTTGAAAGATCATTGAGTCCAGCCCCCTGCCTTCACAGCAGGACCAAGTACCATCCCTGACAAATTTTTACCCCAAATCCCTTAATGGCATCTGCAAGGATTGAACTCACAACCTGGGGTTTAGCAGCCCAATGCTCAAACCACTGAGCTATTCCCTCCTCCAGTTATATTTTAACTGAGATTTTCATGAGATAAAAAGCTAGTCCATGATTGCTCTGTTCAAACTAGTGTATTTGCAAAAGAATTACATTATAACCCATAGACTCTGTCTTGACTCAAAAAAGTGGTCAAGTTAGGTTGGTTTTACTAAATGTGTTTCTTAAGTCTGACCTAAACTTGATCTTTATCTTAGTAAATGTATTTTAAATTTGATCACCTAAAGTGTGCTAAAGGTCACCCTGCATCTACAGAAGGAAAAATGTTAAGTTTAGGTCTGTTTAAGACTGGTGTTAGGCAAGTACAGTCTGTTTCCTTGCCCAAGACCCTACACTTTATTAATCACACTGACTGTCTGGACAGCATGTTCTACCTGAGAGGCATCCTGAAGCTGCAGGCTGCACATGTAGGTCGTGGCCTCTCCTGCCTGACAGGCTCCCCAGCCCATGGGAGAAGAGAAGGAGGCTGCCGTGGGTGCCAGTGGTGAGGGAGGCCTGCCTCCCCGGCCTGCCGCCCCCAACCACGCTGCCAGCCCAGGATCTCTTCACTCCGCTGAAGGAGCAGCTGCCACAGCCCCATGTGGGCATAGCTGGAGCCCCAGGCCTGATGTGTGGCTGCCGTTGGCCTGGACCACAGTGTCCCATTCGAACTAGCCCCTGCAAATTATCATGCTGGCTCTTGTCAGGCTTAGCTAGCAAGTTTACTAAGCCTGACATAAACTAAACCGATTTACTATGTCAAGACAAATCTTCAGATGGGATGAGAATACAATTGTTATGATGATAGTGCCTTGCAGTCCCAGTCAAGGAACAACACATTGTGCTTGCTACTATACTTCTAGTAACAGAAAAGACAAGTCCCAGTGTGCTTATAGTGAATATTATCCACAGCTTATATTTCCATCTCCTTTATTTCCATTCCTTTGTGCAATATTTAAGTGTTGTTTTTGATTATTTCTGTAAGCAGAATCTGAATGAAGTCTCCCCTGACAGATAGTTGCATGGGGTCAGACTTCAGGAGCAAACTCTGTTTACATGAACACACCTACTCTGCCAAGATATTCAACAGAGAGAGCGGTGTTGCTCAAAATAATTAACTTTAGCTGGCAGTGGTGGCAGGTTTATATAATTTTTGGTGGTGCCCAGAATGGGTCTAGTTCCCCCAGCCCTCCGCCTGCCCACCCGCCCTGTAAGACGATATATTTTTATTAAATAATGTAAAAATGGACTGGAAACCGTAAGCATTTAACAGTTTCCCTTTATTGCACAATAGCACTATCGTAAGAAAAAATTATTTAACTAAGAATATCAATGTTATTAATACTCTTTTGAATATGGAACGAACCCATTGTAGATTCCATTGTGCATCAAATATATTATATTTTGTTGTACCTGTTGTGACAAAGTGGGAATGTTCTTCATGTTTTCTCTGATGGACACATGACCAGAAGTAAAGTCCCCTCTCTAAGCACTTTTCCCACCATCCTCCTACCAATAGGGATTATTTTGGCCCCCACCAAACCCCCCTCATGCAACTATCCTGTAATTGCATTAACCCAATGCGTGTGACATTAACTCGGGGGGAGGGGAGGAGAGGCTGGGGGAAGTGTTCCCTCTCAGAGTTTCCTCCCATGAGCAGAATGAATTTTGTGTTGTGCACCAGTACTGAGTTCATGTGGCTTGTTTGGATGTGGCACCCAAGTTATTAATAAATATCTTATAAACCTCTACCCTTTCCCTCTGCTGCCATGTCTCTCCCCCTTGCTCCATCAGCTCCCCTGGTGCCTGCTGCCCCCTAACCCCTCATCCTCCTCTGCTGTCCTGACTCGGACTCCTGCCCTTCTCACTGCCCTCAGACTTCCTGAGACCTGCCCCCCTCCACCAGCCCTTCTCTCCCTCCTGTGCCCACTCCTCCAGTAGCCCCACTCTGATCATGTGAGCTACTCCTCCTCATCCCCTCTCCTAAAACCTCCCTCTGCACACCTGCCCTGCTTCTCTCCTCTGGTGATGGTCCCTCCCCTGCAGGTGTCTGCCCTTCTGCTTCACCCCAGAATCCCCTGGTACCTGCACCTTCCCTTAGCTCTGCACTCTCCTGATGCCTCCCCCTTCCTTCACTGCCCATGCCCCCTTTGCCTTCTTTTTCCCAGATGTCCACCCCCTCACCACTCTCTGCCCCATTCCCCTCCTGCCCCACTGTGCCCTCACACATGGCTTGCTCCATCCCCACCTTTCTCATGCCCACCCCTTCTTTCAAGCCTTCTCCCAGCACCTCC